TACGGTTTCAACGTCGCGGCCTCTCTCTCTCTCTCTCTCCTTCCTCACCACCTCGCCGGTGACCACGTCCTCGCACTCGCCCTCTACCTGCCTCCACCACCACCGTCCTTGGCTCGCACAAGCGCACTGCTCGATGACGCGCCACGACTGCGCGCTTCCGCGCGCGCCGGGGGGATAATCGTGCTCACGATAGTATCGGGGTATAACGGGATTTGATACTAAAAAAAGATAGCTATGTGAGAGTACGTATAAATACGTGCGTATATACGTGTATATAATAATGAGTCACAAATTCTCGGCTTTGACATGTCCCGAAATCGGAGTAACTCGTAAAATTTAACGCTTCCACGTAGAGGATGACGGCGGTCATTCCTGCGGGAGATACGCGCAAGAGTTACATGGAACGGGCACGCGCGTGAGACTTGCATATTTATGGAAATTACCGTCGCACATTTCTATGCTGTTATCGGCAATTAAATCTGTATATTTATCTCTAAGCATATGACATTTCTTATTTTTAGCGCTCTCTCTCTTCTCTCTCTCTCTCTCTATCTCCCCCCCCCCCCTCTCTCTCTCTCTCTGTTTGGTACATGCACCAAAGTGTACACTCAGCATTATGAATGCCTTTACACCTGAAGAAAGAAGAAGATATTTAATAAGAAAGTTTATGATATGATTAGATATGAGATCAGTAACAATTGTGCGAACAGGTACAGCTTTACAATTTACTTTCGCTATAATTACCCCCCTTTTTTATTTACTTTATATTTATTGAAAAAAAAATTTTAGCGCTAAGTTACGTATGTTTGCAGATTACTTGAAAACGGTCCAAATCCGGGACCGAAAAGTCGTTCGTTTTTTAAATAAACACATTGGCCAGTGTAGGTCGCTTTTGAAAAACTACATAAGTATCATAAGAAAATTTATTTTAATAAAACGAATCTTTCGATCTTTCTATTGTACTTGACGGCTATTTTCAGGTGTAAAAGCATTCATGACGTCGGGTGTATACACTCTGGCATACTCTGGTACATGTACCAAACAATCGCCAAAAATCGCCTATTATGACAAAACAAATGAAACAGAAATGAATATGACAGTAATTTCACATAATGAGCAGTCAATATTTATTATAATAGTTTAATGTAATTTTACTGGTTTGCCAATATTTGTCAACGTTTATTAAATAAGTTGATCGCCGATGATGGTGATCGATTTTACAATTTAAAGAACGCGGTTAAAAAACGGTGTTCTGTGTTCATGCACAATTATCCTAATTGATCCCGCGTGATAAAATCTTTGCATGTACGCCATTGATTACAGCGCTATTACTTTCGCGGATAAGTCCCATTGCGACGTATCGTTGACACGTTTCCATCCCTCGTGCCACCCCCGAATCGGACGTCAGGAGGGTGGCAGCACGTGTTTCTCTCAAGCTGCTACTCGAACGACGCAGACGCCATGCCTCTATGCGGTATCGTTACTGCATTATAGGATCAAACAGAATTAAAGGTGCCTTTAATTATTAATCCTACGATCAAACCAATCTGTACTCATATAATCAATTCTTCAAATACGAAGCAATAAAGGAGTAGAAATAATACCTCAGCCAGGGCTTGAACCTGGCCTCCCTCTTTCAAAGGGTATTAGGGTACTTTTGAGTATTATTTGAGGTATTATTTTTCGCAATAGACTTAAAATTACAATTATTCAGACACTAACACCCCGGCTCTTACTCCTTTATCACTTCGTATTTGTGTTTTCACATTAGAGCCTTATGAATTTTATTAATCAATTCTTTTACTACCGCGTACTTTTTTACAACTTTTTCGTAAAATACTTCATACTTCAACAAATCAGCAAAAGAATAGTGATAAATATAATTTAATGCACTCTAAACTTAGGGCTGATGTATGTGTATGTCCGTTCTGGGATAATTTTAATATTTTTCTAACAGTAGGACAATTAATAGAGTACAGTAGAGTCGATTTGTTTCTTACTCCAGTTCTATTGTATATGTAATGAAATACTTCTTCAAATTTTGCAGAATTTATGCCAAACTTGAAGTAACTCGAAATTGTAAGTGGGAATATTTTTTTCTTCACAAATGATTCTCTTAAAGGTTTACATCATGAGATTATGATACTTAAAAAGTTGTTGAATCGAGAAATAACTTGTTGCCCAACCGGATGCGGTCGCCGCGATAAATTCTATCATGATATGAATAACAAGAAAAGATGCTACACCAACGACTTGTAATTCGACTTTCTAATACTCGCGGCACTTTAGACATGGTCAAATTACATGAGAATGGATTTAGAGGTTTCGTCAATTTATGCGAGACACGAACAATATTTAGGCGCGGTCTCGTGTTGGGGCTAATTCACTTCGCTCTGATTAGACAAAAAGGAGCGGCGCGCCCTCGCAGGGTTTCGATCCCCGAAATAGATAAATGGATAAGCATCAAATGTGTATGACGCAGAATCAATGGCACGCCAAATAGTACGACGAGAAGTTCAGAGAGACTGGATTTATTTATAGAAAAACAAACTGTCATATCGAAATAAGTGATAGATTCTCCCTTTCATTTCTTTCCAATGTTTTCTTTAGTGTGTACAATAAAATGACACACTTCTGTAACTTCTGTATACACAAACCATCGATACGAGAAGATAATTTAATTTTGTTCTCATATTGCAATATTCATATAATACAGAAAAATTAATTGATTAAAATCCATATTTATGATATATTATGATTTATTTTAATATTGTAGTTATAAAAATCCGCACAGTAGCACGCGTGATTTATAGAAATTACAACACTCACACACACTTTATAAGTTTCATTAAAAATTTTTTAAATAATTTTTGGAAATAAAGAAAAAAAAGAATAACTTTAATGAAAATTACTTCAATAAAATCTATTTGAATAAAAAGATCCTAAAAAAAATCCAAAAGATTCCTTCGAGCCGGATTTGAACCAGCGACCTATGGATATCTGCTTTCGTTCGTCCCAACTACAGTCCACCGCTCTACCAACTGAGCTATCGAAGGTTGTTGGATGAGTCTTGCCGACAAACCGATTATACTGTAGAGCCTAAAAGATATTATTAACCTACAATTTTTAAAGAGTAGAATACTTGCGCTCAAGACAACGAACAATTTATCAAATAATTTTATTACAATGCCGGATCTGATATTTATTATTCTTTATATATTTATGTCAGTAAATATATTAAAAATAATTTTTCTTAGCAAATATTTCCCAGTCATTGCTAAGAAATTTTAATTTGCACAAATTATTTTATTAAAAAATATGTAAATATTTTTTAAAGAGAATATAATTGTTTAGAGACTACAACTAGGTTTTTCTCTATTGAAAAATAATAAATTATTATTTCAGAAACTTTATTAAGCTTCTTAATAATAAGATTAAAACTTATTTAACTACTGTATCGATCTAATTCCGCCTATACGATTTCACAGACAATAAATCGCCAACATAATATCAATTTTACGCAACAAATGAGTCGCGATGACATTTTACTGTAGAGAATTCGGCTAGAATAATTTAAGGGCTATTAGGTAACCAATAATGTTTCGGGGACCCTCGACCTTTCTTGACAATGTGAAATGTCATAGCATTTGACATCACGAATGCCCCTGTCTGAACCTTTATCGCTCCATTGCTTCCTATACTGTTTGCCATTATTCGAGGAAATGTCTCGAAGTCGTTCACTTCATAATGTATATATGAAGCTTGGATTAAGATATTCAAGTAAAACATAAAAATTTCAGCTAAATCAAGTACAACAATAAGTAGCAATAAGCGAATTATATACGATATAAACACTGAAAAGTTTCCGATAAACTATATATTTTACTCTATCCCTTTTCCAAAACTTACATAAATAGAACTTACTGTACAAAGATTTACATTCAAATTAAATTAATATTAATAAATTGTAGTGTATTAATATAAGTTTTAAAAACAAATGACAAATTCTTCTGTTTTTTTTTCATCTCGGACGGATTTTCATTATTAATGAGAAAATTAAAAAATAAATCGCAATAATTAATATCACGGTCGCAAATAAAAACGTAGAGCATGCAAAAATGTGTTTAGCGAAACAAAAAAATACTAACTTGCGACCGTGACAGGACTCGAACCTGCAATCTTCGGATCCGAAGTCCGACGCCTTATCCATTAGGCCACACGGTCAGTTGCAAGCTTTGACTTCAACTAAGTATATCAGGGCATTTATTCCATTTTCTGATCGTGTATTAAGCCTCAATTATTAAAATTAATAGTGATTTTATATATAAATGTGGGTTAGAAGATCACGCACGATGTTTCATAGCCTTTCAACTAACGATTTATGTTTATTGATATTATTATACACATTGTATATAGTATATTAATGTTTAATACCTCCGTCAACTATACTAATTGATAAATTCTATTCGCCTCAAATATGATAGTTTTACTGTTAAAGTGACACTCTCCTCCCCCCATTTGGGATTTCACACTGAAGTACTTTATTACGTACATTTACCTATACACGTGTGGAAGGCTTTACCATGTCCACCATAACGGTTACTGCTAAAGAGTAAAAATCATTAACACTGGGTAAATTTTCGTTAGTAAGACGGTACGCTAATGATAGGAGAATCTTGACGTTGCCGTTTGATTACGATTCCTCCTTTTATACGTAAGAAAAATTAGAAAATACGTGTATTTTCACGACATTATGCGACGACGTTATTACGTCACAAATTTCTTAAGCATTTGTACCAAAATAGATCACAATTTTAATACCGAATTGTAAACATATTGTAAATAATAATTATCTTATTAATTGTGCTGATATTTAATTATATCAACGATCGATTTTTCTCTTTTGACTTACGCTACAAACGGCAACGCCTTTTCAACAATTTCGTCGTTTTACATGTACTTGAGAAATTCCTGTTAGATGTGTGCTTGTAAAGCTCGCACAAGCGATTAATTTGATACTTGCCCTCTTTCCTCAAACGCTAAATCAATGCGGGGACCGAAATCGAGCCGAGGACCCTACCATTTATACCTTTGAACTTCTGAACCACGTGTCGGTGATATAAGGTTACTTGCGTCGTTTCCAATAGATGGCAATACGTTCAATGTCCAAAAAACAAAACAGAAGTTTTTGGTTAAGTTGCCAATTGAAGTTCGTTCAAGTTGCTCGAGCGTCAATGTAACGATAATGACAACTCCTCTTCAAATTCAACTCTCGAGTGCTTTAGGGGGTAAAACGAAATACCTTGCGGAGTTGAAGAAAACATTTGCGCGTCCATTGATACAACGTAAGTTTCGTTTTCTTGCATCGGAATTGAAATTGTCTTAGGCAAATGTAATTGAATTAAATCGAACAAACCGAAGTAACAATTAAATACCGCGTGGAGTTTGTATGCGGCACAAGCGCCGTATACAGAGGAAGGTCCCCTATTATGAGATCGGTTTCTAATATGATACAGCAGATTTTCCACGCCCAAATTCATCTACAAATCTTTTTTTCGTAACGATGACACAATCTAGCAATGAATTCTTAATTCTTTAAACAGATTTCACCCCAAGGGCAATAAATCTATGGTGGAATCAACTGCCTAAATTTAACAGAAACTCCGCTGTCCCACATTAGGATCCTATCCCGTAATAGGAGACGCCTCTAACAATTTCCACGTTTCAAAAATAATTTTTGAAAAACAGTTGCAGTGAAAGCAATAGAACTAGAACATATAGAAGAGGGCATATTAGAACGGATAAGCAAAAAATATAGCATTCCTGAAGAACATGTAGACGAGTATTATGCTGCTATTCTTACGATTTTGAAGATACACCTACGCTCGCAATGCCATAATATTAAGCCTGCAGAGTTCAAACAATGCCTGGAGGAGTTGAAGTAAGTGTGTGGCATAACGTGCTGAATTTTATTATAGCGTGTATCTTTCTATACAGCACAGATCGTTGCGACAATATTGCACCAGCATTGCAACTTGAATATTACAACATTCACATTTTTATATAATGTAAAGAAATTATTGTATATTTATAGTAAATATAATATATTCCTTTTCTTTATATAATAGTTAAAAAATTGTATGACATTTTTCTGAATGACAAGTTTATTATTCTTCTTAGCTAATCTTTCTATGCATATTACAGATTGAACCCAGACTGTGCGGAAGATTTATCTTCTGTAATCTATGGTCCAAAACAAGCGGACCTGTTATCGGGTTTAATTCAGAGAACAAAGTTTAATCCGCAACTTGTGTCATGCAAATGGCGTGTGGATATTACTATCTCGTCCAAGTACGTTTATATTTTTCAGCAGACAATCGTCACAATACAGAATCGTATTTTAAAGGGGATAATCCTGATATATGTTTTCACGAATATTGCAGCATATTAAACAGAGTGCTGGAGCCTAATGTCATAATGGAATGGATCTTCGATACGAGTGAATGTGTAACGTTCGAATTATCTCTGGCAAAGTTTCATCAGTTGAGGCACACTGTGGCTACCATTCTTGTTGAGTTACAAGCGTTAGAGCGGCACAGCATTTTTAAGACTATTCTGTCGAGCTGATAGTAATAGACTATTAACACTTTTTTTTTAATAGCAATTATGATACATCAACATTTTCTCTGCGGTGATCTATTAATTCTAAGCTATATAAGTGTTAACGTATTATTCTATTTTGGTTGATACATCCACTTTATTGTATCTTAAATCTCAATAAAAATTATTTACATTGTAATAATGCTATCAAGAAAAATTCAACTTTTTATCAATAATATGTTATTTAATAAAAGATTGAGATTTGGTTATTATATTTATGTTTTTGTATTGAACATTCACATTTGTATACCCGCTCTTTTTTAAACAAGACTGTCGTTATAAGATAGGTGGCGTTGAGTACTATCGGACAGCGCTTGAATCAAGTAATTTGTCCAATTTTGTTTCAAAATCGCCCTAAGTCTATTTCTATCAATGTAGATTAATTTTTATTTCAATTTAACTTCTTTTATCTTTCTTTAATTCAGAAAATTAGATTAAAAAATTAAACCGAGATTAAGGTTTATCCGCTTGATAAAAAGGGACATAAAGCAGAGTTTCCACGAGCGACGTACTTAGTGGAAACCAGAGAGAAACCTGAGAGCGGCCATGCCGGCGTTTTGCTTATAGGTAGTCGATTATTGTCACCGACAAATATTTCGTACGGTTCGAAGTGTGTCGATCGTATCGCAAAATGCACGACCACGAGAGGTTAATTAAAAGAGAATATTAATTAAAAAAATTTTACTGTATATACGAATCAAATTTATTTTTACTTCCGTTATTTGTTAAAAAATATTGACCATCTCTTCGAAACTTGATCTTTGAATTCGAAATTCAAGTAGATAGAATAAATTAAATAATTAATTGAAAATTTGTCCTGAAAAACCGACCGCGAAAATACAAAGATGCGTATGACTATGCATGTATTCATGCGAGACGCATCTTGAAAGTACGTATATCACGTACATGTACGAGGGTGAGTCAAAAATTATCCGCACGTGCAAGTGCATTGCCAAGGGAGGAAATTATGTTGAAAAATGACGTACATATTGAACCCCTATTTTTGTGTAAATAAATTGTAGAACAAAAAGTGCGGATAATTTTTTACTCACCCTCGTATATATATATATCACAATGGTATGAAATTTCATTCAATAAGTGACGTAAAGTTATTTTAATATCTTGCGAATCTTTCTGCATTGCAGAAGAAACGAGAAATAAAAGTGCAATTGTATTGTAGACAATGACAAGCTGCGGAGTCAAATATCCGAATGGTACGAAAGAATCTTATTGAGTAAGATGGAATACAATTATTTTCGATTATGAAATAATTACGAAACATATAATTGAGAAATGCTAATTAAAAAAGTCTTAAACAATTTTCATTAATTATTTTTAAGATAATGGATAGGATTTAATTTCACACGAAGAAATATTTCCCAGTATTGTCGTCATTGAGATGTCAATCGACAGACTTTGGCGACTGTAATCCCTTTTCTCTACGCTCCGAAATATATTATAAGTATACGTTTATACACCGCGAAATATCGATTATTGCCAGATTAGTTAATTCCAATTCATTACTTTTAAATTGACTCTATAGTATGATCTATAAATAGCCACGAAACAAAATTCGCAGTATTAATGAAATAATTAATGATGTAACAAATGTTCTCAGACATGGGTTACATTGCGATTGATCTTACTATATGCTACTATATATGTAAGACACTTACCTCACGATTTCACCGCCGTTGCCCGATGCCTTCTGGGCCTGCTCCTCCTCTCAGATTTCCTTGTTGCACTTACACAATACTCACTCGCAAAAATCATCGATCGCGCGAAATTTCGGACACTCCCGTGCGCGATGTGAAATACCACGAAACGCACGAAATATTATTAACAAATATCGCATGACTTTCTGTCATACAAATTACTCAAACTAACGATTTGTATTTTTCATTCGGAATAATGGATAAATCACTTTTGAATTGTCGATATAAAACGCAACGCGAGCATCGGAAGCATATTTCTGCGGTAAAGAAGTATTATAGTTATTAGTCCGCAACGAAACGATATTTTACAATCTTCGTCATTCAATCTAATCCTTAAAATTAATTATGTGAGCGAAATTTCCAGCGATAAATAGTTGTTATTAATTGACAGTTAATCGGGATCATTTTCGATTACATTTACATAATGTAAAAACGTGCAATAAGTAACTTTCTTTACTTCCTGCCCGTCCGAGTTGCAAAGAACGACAGAACAAGTTACAGCGCGATCGCTGAAGTTCGTACAAATTTCTCTCTTTTTCCCGAAAATGGATTACGCGAAATCGATAGATAATTAAAAGCGCGGTGCGTAAACGAGATGTAACCGCGACAAAATACCACGGTTTACATTCATAATTTAGATGAATTAGTCTCGTGAAATATCTAACGCGTTAATAAAGAGCTGTCGCCTCAACATGTAATTCGTTTCTCATTACAAGTTGTAGAAACTTAATAATTAATCGAGATACGTTACTTGTTATATTCATCGCGATCGAGTCTTGGAAACTAATAACGCACACGGAGCGACTCTCGCCACTGCTTGCCGGCTCGACGTTCGGCGAGCGAATGATAGCGACCTTCGAGTATGTACACAATGGCACGCAAACGTCATGCGTCACCGCGCCGAGAGAAAAACTACGGACGTTGAGAATTCGAGCAAAAACACAATAGATTGTTTTTGACCGACGTGTTTACGGCGCTACGTCATTTCTTGGAATCCGCGCTCGGTTTTCGGCAAAGGTGTTTACGGCGCCGTACGCAGGATCATTCACGCGACGACAGTCGAATTGAACGATTATGCCCGCGCCGCTTCGCATATACGTATTGTTCTTTCTTGATACGCGTTCGCGACAAGTGCGGGAAGAGACCGCGATCGCTCTCTGTGAATAATCAATGCTCGATATCATCGTGCGATCGTTGAATTCCCGCGATTTATGTCAGTGATTTGTGCGGGTGTCAGTGCGACGATGTAATCGAACAGTTCGTAGTGGCACTCGAACTCA